TTTTATTTTATTTTTATTTATTTTTTTAAGGGAAAGGCGCACAAGAGACATCACATACAATATCATAGTCATAAATCCAATAAAGACATAACTCAAGTGTATAGCATAACACGTTTACACATCATCAAGCACAAGGCAAGCATGACCAAGATCATCAATCAAGGACGAACAAAGGACAAGAAAGTTTCGTGAATCCACATATGAGTTCCAATGCCAACAAATAATCATCTCATTTTATGAAAATCGTCAAAATCATTGAGCACATAAGGCATGAGAGTTAATAATGAAAACGATCGATATCCAAACTAGCCACTTAGTCATTTGCACTATTGGACTCACATCAAGTCTCATATGGGGAAATCGACACAAAACACAATAAAAACAAACAAAACTGGTCCACGACTCAACAAAAACGAAAAATAAGCACAAAAAATAAGAGAAATAATGCCTAAGCATGCATAATCACGAAAATCCCTCCCCCACACTTAAAACAAAGCGATGTCCTCATTGCTTGACCCAAAAAGCATGGAAAAGAGCACGTTGACACACAAGCTCATGCGATCGACAAAACAAAATATATACAAACGAGAATACGAAAAGAAACACATAACACATAAAAATAAAGAGAAAAAGAAAATAACGAAGGGAAAAGAAAGCGCGTACTCTACACGGTGGTGCACCACCGTGTGTCTAATGGTGTTCGTCCGGTGGGAACAGAGCAAATCATCCAAAAGCCATCGAGTGAACAACAACACCATCCGAATAATTGAACAATCAAAGCGTATTGATCCATAATCCAACCGGGCACTATTACTTTTGAGAGCATAAAAGAATCCCGTCCGTCGGCTCCGAGTAAAGGCCACATGTATGCGTCTCGGAGGGATAATAACCGGGAATCCACAAACTCAACGAAGACACACGTATACATGAAAGCTCAACATTCGGGCTACGAACCCCTCTTGAATCAACATACAACCACAAACTCATCCACACATCCAATAACATAAGAATATTTCAAAACCACGCGCCACGAGCATCACATTCCTTAAATAATCAATAAAATCTCCCAACGAACCTCAACATCGAAAGACAATCACCAAAATCCTCCAAATTATCAATATAAGCTCTCGAAACCCCCGATACACCTCCCCACACTTAGCATATATCACCCCCAACTCAATAAAATCATGCCCAATTC